CGCTAACCCAGACCCCCTACCCCAGAATCCGTGCACTCTGGATGTGGCTTCAGAACGAGTCGTGAGTCAGTACTCAGACCAGGGCTACTCGGGTCCCCTCATTTTCCCTGTGGGTAATGTGCATGCCCTCCTTTCCCTCACTATCTTATCTTCAGCCAGACTTTGTATCACCTGGATGACAGGTGGATATCGATGGACATCAATATTACCAAGCCCTTGGGGTTAGCAAGGTCCTCAGACATGCTCTGGATTCTGCCCTTCATTTTCTTTCTTTTTTATTTTTAAGATTTTATTTATTCATTTGAGAGAGAGAGACAGAGATAGAGAGCACAAGGGAGAGGGAGAAGCAGGCTTCCCGCGGAGCAGGGAGCCCGATGCGGGGCTCGATCCCAGGACCCTGGGATCATGACCTGAGCCAAAGGCCGACACTTAACCATCTGAGCCACCCAGGTGCCCCCTGGCCTTCACTTTCTTTTGCCACAATGCTCTCCCCCGGGGAACTATGCTTAGCTAACTCTTGGATTTTTTTTCTAACAAATTCTTTCGTCACAAATATCTTCCTTCATGACTTGCAAACATATACTGAATTTTTGTCAGTTCACTTCAAATTTCTCTTCCTTCCTTGACAAACTCTCCAGGACACCACTTTAATGATATATATATATATATAATGAATCCCTTAAAAGCTGAAAAACTGGGAACACTAAATTCTAAAGACTTCAAAATAACCATTTGCTCTTGTTGCTGTCTAATGGCTAAGTGTACTTAAGAAAATTATTTTGCTCTCATTGAAGCCATTTTGGAAGTTCAAGCCCTTTGCTGCTATTCTCATACTTCTTTTATCTCTGGGATTGAGTGGCCCTGGACGCTAAATATCTCAATAAACGTGGAAAGGTCCATTTATCAGAGTATTTGTAAAATGCCTCCATGGGCGGCATGAGGTGACTCCCAGCACTTTCTTAGCATTGTGCAGACCACATCCATGTGATCTTATTCTCTAGGCTTAGCTATATTTGTTTGTTAAATGCAACCCAGATTTATGATAATTAATGTTTAAATCCACTTTGAGATGAGAACAACCATACCATCACAAACGATCATTAGCAGCCATAAAAACGAGTAACCTGCACGTTTGTTTCTTCAACTCTTGTGGTTTTCCCTGATACATTTTCAAATCTCAAAGAGGTCGTGGTTATTATGGATCATCTTTTTACTACATTTTTTGATGCTGGTGAACACAGGGAAAACTTTAACCCTAAAAGCTCAAGTTGTACTTTACCCCCAGGATTAAATTGCCTTCTGAGGTCAGAGTCACGCTGGAAGAATTTGCCCCACAGCAAGGGGTGATTCTCTCCCTGCGGGCAGGAGGTCTGTGGGTGCAGCACGGCAGCAACCCCCAAACCCAGCTCACCCTCAGAACCATCTGGTTCACCTGACAAAAGTACAAATCCCTGGGTCCCAAGCCCGGAGATCCTGCTTCAGCAAGTCTAGGGTGGAAACTGAAATCAGCATCAGCCATCAGATGATTCTGTCTGATTTCTGTGAGTATGGGAGGTAAAGTCAGCTGTGAAAACTTCAGCCCCACCTGGTCTGATCAAAGCCAGTGCTTTGGAAAGAGCACACAATTAGTCTATGCGTATGTCATCCGGGGGGAACAAACGATGTGTTCTATCTAGAGTGGGCGAGAATAAAATACTTCAGTTGTAGAGCAAAGGGAACATCTCAGAGAACGTCAGTGTGAAGAGTGACATTCTTTCTCACCTGGAAAACAGCCTCTAAATCATGATAATTATTAGCTCGGAAGCAAAACACCTTTTGGAGGATTTATCAACAGTTACAAAAAGCCAGCAATCTTATTTTATTTTTTAGAAGATTTTTATTTATTTATTTGAGACAGAGAGAGAGAGAGGGAACACAAGCAGGGGGAGTGGGAGAGGGAGAAGCAGGTTTCCCCACTGAGCAAAGAGCCCAATGTGGGACTTGATCCCAGGACCCTGGGATCATGACCTGAGCCAAAGGCAGACGCTTAACAACTGAGCCACCCAGGAGCCCCCAAAAGCCAGCAGTTTTAAATACTGATTGTAAAACATGTTCATATACCTTTTCCAAGTAGAATTTTTTTCTCAGACCTATATTCATACACGGTGGTGACTTTAGGACAAGATTTCACAACCTCAGTACTATTGATGTTTTGAATGGGGACGTTGTGCACAGGAGACTGCCTCCCGCCTTGCAGGATGGTTAGCGGCATCCCCAGCCTCTACCACTAGATGTCAGGAGCACCTCCCCTAGCAGTGACAACCGGAAAATGCCTCCAGACAGTTGCCCAAAGCTCCCGGGAAACAAAATTGTTACCAGTTGAGAAGCATTGCTCTAGGAAAATCATGTAAGCTCTCTGGGGCTTCTGGAACTTATAACAGAAGGTGAAAAAGTAAAGGTCATTCATCGCAGTAGAATCGGAAAAGACTAAAGGATCAGTTATACTTGTAAAATTGAATAGCTACTTATATTTTTTTTAAAAATCCAGATTCAATACCCACCCAGATTGAAAAATAAATTTCTTTTTTTTAAATTTTATTTATTTATTTGAGAGAGAGAGAGAGAGCACAAGAGCGGGGTGAGGAGCAGAGGGAGAAGCAGACTTCCCGCGGAGCAGGGAGCCCGATGTGGGGCTCGATCCCGGGACCCTGGGACCATGACCTGAGCCAAAGGCAGACACTTAACCACTGAGCCACCCAGGCGCCCTGAAAAATAAATTTCAAATGGTCCAGAGTTCTAAATGAAAACCACTGGGAAAATATTGGAAAATATATTTATGTAACCTTGGGGTAAAGAAAATTTGTCTTGGAAAAAAATCAGAAAACCTAGAAACCCAAAATAAAGGCCTCGAGAGACTTAACTCAGTAACATGTTAACATTCCTGTAAGATGAACAAGGAACTAAAGAAAAGCACCATAACCAAAATTTTAAAAGAGGAAAAAGAGAAAATATGTGTAATACATGTAATAAACTAAAAATTGATATTCATAAAAAAAATGAAAAGCCCAACAAGTCATTTTAAAAATGTAGAGAAAATAGGCTGATAATTTGAAAGAGCAATTCATAAAGAAAAATCAAAGAGCCAGAGCACAGGAAAGTTTTCCAAGTTCGTTATAACTCAGCAGAACACAAACAAAAATTACCATATCATCTTGATCCCATCAGATTGGCAACATTAAAAAGATTTATGAAATGCAGAATCGATGAAGGAAGATGTGGAGAAACAATCATGCTCATGCCCTATTAGCAGAACTTACCCTGAGTCAATCTTTTGGGGACAAGTTAGCAGTAGCTCTGAAAATGTAGAAACTGCATAACCTTTGATCTAGTATTCCCCATCTTAAATCTACCCTATAAAAATGCTCTCATATGTGCACACAATATGTAGATATGAGGGTATGGTATTGCTTATAATAAATATTGCAAACAGAAGGAAGTTAGCCATCAATAAAGAATGGTTGGTGCATTGTTATATCTTGATACGTACAATGTGATTTTTTTGCAGTAGTGAGATCGAATGAGACAAATTTAAAATATTGAAATGAAAAAGCCTTTATATGACAGAAAGTTCCCTTTTTTTTTTTTTTTTTTTTTAGAGAAAGAGAGAGAGTGCACCTGCAAGCAAGGGTGGGGAGAGGGGCAGAGAGAGAGAGAGAGAGAATCCTAAGCAGGCTCCGGCCTGGGCTGAGTGTGGAGCCCCACACAGGGCTTGATCCCATGACCCTGAGATCATGACCTGAGCTGAAACCAAGAGAGGGTACCTTAACCCACTGAGCCACCTAGGCACCCGTGACAGAAAGTTTCAAAGCTATAAAGAAATATGGAAACATACACCTACTTATATAAATAAATTTATTTATTCATGTCTATAAAGTTACATGCATTTGTCTGTGAATGTATAATTACACGTATATGTAAACATATAAAAAGTATCTTGAAGGTTACGCATTAAGACGTTAACTCCAGGAAGAAAAGTAGGATGTACACCTCATTCTATGAGCTTCATAGTGTTTTGAAGTTTTACCACAAATATTCAGTTTGCATATTATATAATTCTGAAATAAAAGCCAGGACGTTGAACTCCATGATGTCAGAAGTCTGTGATTTCAGCTCTAACAAACTAGGGTGCAATTAATCTTGGGTTAGAAATAAATCTGGAAACTTATCATGGGATCCTTCAAGAAGGAAAAAAACCAAAACAGAACAGGGAAAGAAAGTTCTATGCCTTAAGCACCCACATGTGCTTATCCCATCTGTATACACTTTCCCATTTATCATGGTGGTGTCAGTTTTTCTGAGGCACTGAGTGGTGAAGGGGCCCGACAAAGATCACAGGGCCAGGAAGGGACAGGGTCGGGAGTCAGCCATGGACCAGTCCGCAAGGGCTATGACCACGGCTCTCCACACTGGATGATTCCTAGTTTCTCCGGTTGATGGAGAAACTGGTTTATCTTCTAAACATCAAGTCAGCCAGCAGGAGGCCACGGTGAGGAGCAGCAAGCCAGCATCACAGCTTCCATGACCTGCACGAAGCAAACTTGCTGAGATGTGCTCGGTGCTCCCTCTTCATACCCACTTCACCCACACGGCAGGCTGGGAGGAAGGTGCCATTGCTGTTCACATGTCACAAGGCGGGGGACGCCTGGGTGGCTCAGAGAGTGGAGTGTCTGACTCTTGATTTCGGCTCAGGTCATGATATCGGGGTCATGAGATCGACCCCCGAGTCGGTCTCCGCGCTGGGCGTGGAATCTGCTCGAGATTCTCTCTCTCCCTCGGCCCCTCCCCCTGTGCTCTCTCTCCTAAAAAAAAAAAAAAGGTCACAAGGGATGTGACACTGAGGCTCAGCAAGGATAAAAAAGTTGCAGAGAGTCGCACGTACAGTAAATGTAGGACACGCCAGCCTCCAACCCCACCCACAGAGATCAACCATTAGATAACTATCCACAAATAAAAACAGCTTCCGGAGAGTTCTGGAGTCCACCTAAGGAACCTCAGCAATGCAGTGTAACAAATAACCTGAGAATAACCACACCCAAGGATAAAGGAAGACAGCCTCATTTTGCCTGCATCACTCCAGCCCCTGAGCCAGCGTTGCTCCTCCGGGTCAGGAGGGAGCTCCCCGGCTGAGAGAATGCCCCTCGCTGAGAAAGGAAGAAGGAGGTAAGTGGGGAGCTTCCCCAGCCTTTCAGGGCACCACATCAAAGGCCTGCTGGGTTTCACCCCACCCATTTGGCAAAGCTGGGACATTTAGAGACAGCTAGGAATGAAGAAGAAAACACAGGCCACCAAGTCACAGCCACACAGCAGGGGCCACCACAGTTCCCAGGGACCTGCTCTGCAGACCAACCCAGCAACTTTTCCCACTCAAGAAACCAGTGGCCAGGGGCGCCTGGGGGGCTCAGTGGGTGAAGCGTCTGCCTTTGGCTCAGGTCACGATCCCAGGGTTCTGGGATCGAGCCCCGTGTTGGGTTCCCTGCTCCGTGGGGAGCCTGCTTCTCCCTCTGCCTCTGCCCTCCCCCTGCTCCTTCCTGCTCTCTCCCTCCTCCCCTCCAAATAAATAAAAATTTAAAAGAAAGAAAGAAACAAACAAAGCAGTGGCCAGCAGAGCCACCAGAGACCCCTGCAGGGTTCACCAGGTTTGCTCCATAGGTATTTACAACCCCCAATACAAGCCTTCCGAGTCCCTGCTCCCCTCTGCCACCCCCACCCCACCCCCCGCCTCTGCTGCATCTGCACCTCGGATACTGCAGCTGTATGAGTGCAAGACACCAGACTAGACTCCCACGGCTGACCCCTACTGCCAGGCACACGCTCAGGGCTAGTCCCTCAGCTGTGTACTTGCACACCACCAGCATGACGCCGGTCACTGACCTCCACCGCCATGCGCATGGCCAAGGGGAGACTGCAGTCATGGGAGCACACGCCGAAGGCCAAGGCCCCCACAGCTGCCAGTGAGCCCACAGCGCCCACCTACCCCCACCACGACGTGTGTGTCTGCAGTTGGCCCCTGCAATTGACATAGGCACCTGCAACTGGCGCCTACAGCCAAGTGCGTGCATAACACCAGCTCCAGCCGCCACTGCTGCCTACCTGATCCCTAGCCACTGGACCCATTGAGGACCCCAACAGCCCTTGCCTCCACCGCACACCCCCACAGCCCTCACCAAGGACCACACAGTTGTCGATGAGATGGACCTCAGCAGCCTGAGCCAAAAAGACATCACTTCCTGCTGGAGCTTCTACTGACACCTATCCGCACACTTGGGGCCCTGCGCCATTAGACATAATATCACAGCATGCTGCAGCATGCTCCTGCCCACGGGCAAAAGGTTTCTGTCACCAAAATCAGCTCATAAAGTCTGAACAAGGTGAACGCATCTTCAAATGAACAAACACCTGTACAAGGCTACAGTAATCATGAAGAATGAGGGAAACATGACTCCTGCAAAGGCATAAGGCACACCCCCAGAACTGGCCCCAAAGAAATAGAGATCCAAGAATTGTCTGACAAAGAGTTCAAAATAATTCTTCTAAAGATACTCAGAGGGCTAAAAGAGAGCACAAGTAACAATTTAATGGTATCAGGAAAACAACACAAGAACACAATGGAAAGTTCAGCAAAGGCATAGAAAATATAAAAAAAAAACAACAACAGAAATTTGGGGGCTAAAGAATACAGTGGCTGAACTGAAGAATTCAGAAGAGAATTTGAACAAAGACTTAAAACAAATAAAAGAACGAAGCAGTGAGCTTGCAAACAGATCAAGTGGAATTATCCAATCGGAAGAGCAAAAGCTAAAAGAACCACATCAACAAAAAAGAATAAAAAGGAATGAAGAAAGCTTACGGGACTGATAGAAACAGTGTATGTGCCACTGGAGTCCGGGAAGGAGAAGGGAAGGAGCAGAATGCTTATTTAAAGAAATACTGGTGGAGAATTTCCCAAAGCCAGGGAGAGAGATGGATATCCAGGTTCATGAAGCTCGGCGGTCACTCCAAAATTTCAATTCAGAATGATCTTCCCCAAGATACGTTGTAATAAAACTGTCTAAAATTAGAGAAAAAAAGAGAATTTTAAAAGCAGCAAGAGGAAAACAATTCTGATATAAAGGAACCCCCACAATGTCGTCAGCGGAGGTCTTAGCAGGGACTTTGCAGCCCAAGAGAGAGTGGGATGAGATATTCAAAGCGCTTAGAAAAGATGCTGCCAACAGAATACTTTCTCAGCAAAGTCGTCCTTCAGACAGACAAAAGCTGAGGGATAGCGGCATTATTGATTTTTATTATTTATTTGACAGAGAGAGAGAGGGAACACAAGCAGGGGGAGAGGAAGAAGGAGAAGCAGGCTTCCCTCGGAGCATGGAGCCTGATGCGGGACTTGATCCCAGGACGCTGGGATCGCGACCTGAGCTGAAGGCAGACGCTTAACGACTGAGTCACCCAGGTGCCCCAGCAAAATGACTTTTATAATCCCAGCCACTTGGGTTCTTGGGTTCTTCTGTTGATATTGTTAGTGTCTATCATTGCATACCCTCTGTGTTGCCATATATAAAACATAGCTTTAGAATGTGTTCATCCAAGCAGAAGGGATGGTGCTGGCAGAACAGACAAAATCTGCTTGCAAGTCGTTTACCTGTCGGGGCACCTGGGTGGCTCGGTCGTTGAGCGTCTGCCTTCGGCTCAGGTCATGATCCCAGGATCCTGGGATCGAGCCCCGCATCGGGCTCCCTGCTCCGCGGGAAGCCTGCTTCTCCCTCTCCCACTCCCCCTGCTTGTGTTCCCTCTCTCACTGTGTCTCTCTGTCAGATAAATAAATAAAAACTTTAAAAAACAAAACAAAACAGAAAAACAAGTAGTTACCTGTCAAAGGGAAAACCTAACACATCAGTGAATGTTCAAGGTAAATGTTCGTATGTTCTGAAAATTAAAAATGGGATCCTGCTTTGAATTACAAAAAAAAAAAAAGGTGAGGGAAAATTTTTTTAGGGTATGACTATTTGGTTTTAGAAATTAACCCACATTGAGGCACCCAGGTAGCTCAGTTGGCTGAGTGTCCAACTCTTGTTTCGGCTCAGGTCATGATCTCAGTGTTCAGCTCAGGTCATGATCTCAGGGTGGTGAGATCGAGACCCGCCTAGAGCTCCAAGATCAGCGAGGAGTCTGCTTGAGATTCTCTCCCCCTCTGCTTCACCACCCACTCTCTCTCTCAAATAAATAAATAAATCTTTAAAAAAAAAAAAGCAATGAACCCACGTTTTAGGCTACAACTTCTTTCAACCCAGCTACCGTGGTATTGTGCAATTGTTATTTTAAAACCCTGTAGTTTTCCTTACGCCTAACATACACCTAAGTACATTCTGTTGTCTTATTTTGCAATCATGTTTCTTTTTAAGACTTTATTTATTTATTGGAGACAGAGTGAGCACATGAGCTGGGGGGGAGGGGCAGAGGGAGCAGGCTCCCGGCTGAGCAGGGAGCCAGACATGGGGCTTGAGCCCAGGACCCTGAGATCATGACCTGAGCCGAAGGCAGATGCCCAACTGACTGAGCCACTCAGGTGCCCCATAATCATGTTTTAAATATTTTCCCCAAACCCTACATTTTTAAATTTAACTACACTTTATTTTAGAATTTAATACCTTTATTCTAACATAAAACAATTTCTATTTTCTTTAAAAAAAAAAAAGAAGAAGAAGAAGAAGCATCCTGTGTTGATTAGTAGAGCAGAGAGGTATTGATTGGTCTCAAAATGAGAATCCTATATTTTCAGGCATGTCTGACAGGCTGGAAGGGTAAACCGAAAGGCCGTTTGCGTGGAGGCCTGGGGTGTCCTTCGAGATACCTCTTGGTGAGAAAGGAAGGGGCCGGGCCCAAATCTGAGTCAGCCCAGAAGTTCTGGTCATTTGATGGCAGAGGGACTCTGCCCAGAGCACTGACTGGGACTTTGGTTAGATTCCGGGGCTCAGCCCCCACCAGACTCCGGGCTTCAGCTTACACAACCTGAAGGAACTGTTTTAATACAACTCAGTTCAGCATTAGGGGAGTACAACACTAAGTCGAGAGCCCTTTCAACTCACAACTCAAACAGGAAAGAGGACTTCTCTCCCAGCTTGAGGGGCTTTTTCATTTTGCTTTTTTTTCTTACCCTTGTGTTACTGTTTGTTTTCTGTTTTGGGTGTTTTTGTCCTGTTTTGATTTTTTGTTTTTTTTTTTTTGTGTGTGTGTGTGTGTGTGTGTGTGTTTTAAGATTTTATTTCCTTATTTGAGAGACAAAGAGATAGGGAGAGAGAGAGGTGTTTTGTTCATTTTAACAGTTTCCTTTTGTGTAGTTTTTACACACAGTACAACTTTGAGTAAGGCTACATGTTGATTATTCACTTTGTTCTTAGAAAGCTTTTCTTTAACTTCTGTCCTGTTGCTTTTATGTAATTTTGATATTGAATTGATTTATACATAATGTACATCAGGGGGAGACCCATTTTCCTAGTTTCAAGATTTCAGGGTCTTTCAGATCCTCCGTCTTTATGAAAAGCCATTTTAGGAGATGACAGAGTTCCGTGATAGAAACCTCTACAGTTAAATCTCTGGAGATAAACACTTCCAGTGTTTATCAACGAACGTGGAGGTCAAGTTCGTTGGCACATCTGAACCCCCATCTCTGTTTATAGTGTTTCTGATGCTTGCCATGGCTTGAGAGTTGCTAAGGTGTTTAAAATTCTGGAGTGGGGAAGAACTGAACTTACGTCAGTTTGTTCAAATGTAGCTCCTTGAGCTGGACTTAGAATGTCCCTTTCTGTCTTCCAAAATGACAGTTGGGAGCTCATAAAGTCACCCAAGTATTTGGTAGCCAATTGAACTGTATTTTCTTGGCATTATGCTTACATCCAAGGAAGGCATGGCTCATAAAGGCTGAAAACCAAACCACCCAAAACATGGGATTCTTTCTGAACTAATCAGTTTAAATGGCACCAATTCTTCTTTAATAAATCTGTACAATATTCACAAGTTTATTCATCCAGTGTGGGAGTTGATCTTACCTGAATATATTAGAGCAAATGTGAGTAAATTATGTTGCCCAGATTTATAATGAAATCACTGAGAATAATTTTGAATCTCAAATCCAGGAGAGACATTTTAAAGAGACAATTCCCAGAGATTGATGTCATTTCTTCTGACGGTTCACATGGCTTCGTCCTCGAACGGGGAAGAGGGCACTGAAATGTTACATTTTTTTCCATTTGGTAATAATACTAACCAACGCATTAAAACACCTGAGTTTTTAGTATTGGCGTTGCCACAATCTACCCAGGTAATATTGGGCAAGTCTTCACGTTTCTAAAAACGAAAGAACCGAATGTGATTTTCTGGTTTTTTCTAGCTATCTGACATTTAAAACTCCTCAAATGTCAGTGGTGGGAGCCAAGGTTCCTTTTGGGAAAGTCTCTTTGCAGACTGTCAGAGTGAGCTCAGCCGGAACCAAGGACATGGGGCTCTCTGCCGTGTTAGACAGACGTCCCTGCTCTTCTGAACTAGGTCGGAGGGCCCCTCCTTAGCAAGCATCAGATCAATGCGGTGGGAATGTTGAGATCAGACCAGATTAAGAGCTTCAGGCTTACCTCATTACACCTCTGCAGCTTAACAGAGGTGAGGCTGACACCGTGGGCGGTACCTCCTCACAGACTCACCTGTCCTGTTCCAGCTTCGGTTCCTTCACCAACCACATTCCAGGCGTCTCTAAGTGGGGTTGCAGTTAGCTCCGTTCTGAGGAGCTGATGGAAAAGCAAAGAAATATAATACTTCAAAGAATGCTTTTTTTCCCCTTAAATTCTAACACATTCTTTACTTAAAATGACAATAAGTCTATCCTCCTGGCCTGCTTAAACAATAGTAGGGTAAGAAAGTGCTCACATTGCCACACAGTTGACCCAATTGGGACATTTCGTTTGTGAAAATAACTAGGCTGCAACTCACTTTAGTTATTGCAGATGATTTAATTGCCAGGTATTTGTCTCATTAATCTCTTGGCAGTAGCTAGTGATTATAACCCAAAATAAAACTTTTTGCATGTGTCTGTTTAGTTGAGGGACATAGAAATGGCCTAAATGTGGAAGATCTGTTTTCTTCCAATCAATGATCTCACCTATTGCTAAAAAGAGAAAATGTCCTATCATTTCTTGACATGTTAAATAAAACTACTGATCAGTACATTGATCTGCAATAAAAGGACTGATGGGGGGGGCACTTGGGTGGCTCAGTGGGTGAAGCATCTGCCTTGGGCTCAGGTCATGATCCCAGGGTCCTGGGATCAAACCCTGCGTTGAGCTCAGGGGGAAGCCTGCTTCTCCCTCTCCCTCTGTGTGCTCTCTTGCTCTCTGTCTCCCCACCCTCAAATAAATAAATATAATCTTAATATTCCACTGTATGTATGTGTATATATATATATATATATATATCTATTTATATATATATATATACCACATCTTCTTTATCCATTCATCTGTCAATGGACATCTTGGCTCTTTCCACAGCTTGGCTATTGTGGACATTGCTGCTATAAACATTGGGGTACACGTACCCCTTCAGATCCCTACATTTGTATCTTTGGGGTAAATACCCAGTAGTGCAATTGCTGGATCTTGCCATTTGCAATGACATGGATGGGACTGGAGGGTGTTATGCTGAGCGAAATAAGTCAATCAGAGAAAGACATGTATCGTATGACCTCACTGATACGAGGAATTTTTAATCTCAGGAAACAAACTGAGTGTTACTGGAGTGGTTGGGGGTGGGAGGTATGGGGTGGCTGGGTGATAGACATTGGG